ATACAAGTCTGAAAATAAATAAATAAATAAATAAATAAATAAATAAATAAATAAATAAATATGTGGTTTCCTGTGAAATATGCATAGTATACATTTTGTGCACTGCATCTGCCTTCTGAAAGTCATTCAAGATCTTCAAAGCCACACATTACTTTGTTTCCACTTTTTCTTCTCTGCCCCTGCTTCCCCTTCTCCCCCTACCCTTCTGTATTGCCAGTTGTCAGGTGCCCAGGCAATTGGTTCTTTTAGTTAGATCCAGAGACAAAGAACACGCCAGCAGGTGAGAAGATTTTAAGCTTTATTGTTAACTCTAGCAAACAGATTTAAACAGCAATATGAAAATATAAGATACAAAATTAGCAGATAGAATTAAACAGAAATACAAAAGCATAGTATAAACTTATAACATACCAAGCAAGATGATAATACTCTTCCTCTACTGTCAGGAGCTACCATAAAGAGACAGTGGAGAGACCCAAGATGGCTTAGATAGCTCAGCTCCTGGTCCCAAGGGCTGTGTCCAAGCCTTGACTCCAAGACTCAAGGGGCAATGCCAGGGACTGGCACTGCAATATCATGACTCTGTTTCCATGGTACTGAGAAGACCTGACCTTGACTAGATGTTGCACCTGCTCATCATGTTGAACCAAGAGCCTGGGAACTGTATAGATAAGCTAGTGCTTAATCTAAACAATCCTGAGAGTTTTCTCTTCTCTCCCCCTCCCCCCTTCTATGTAAAAATGAAAAACAAGCCAGCTAAACATTATTATGACTCAGAGTAAACTTTCTTAACATGTGCAGGAAAAATCAAAATATGTCACCTAAACTCCTCAAAATAACAATGGTCTTCCACGTTGACACTACACCTTTCTCTACACATTTTTTTTAGCAAGGGTGTGGGATCCAAAGGGGAATATTTGGGGTCAGGGGAATCTATCTATCTATCTATCTATCTATCTATCTATCTATCTATCTATCTATCTATCTTTTCAATTTAGCTGCCACATTATGGAAGGAGGAGAACATTTAAAAGTATAAATGTTCTATGAGGAAAATTTCAGGATAACGGTATAAATTCTAATATATAAAGGTATCACCTAATTGGACTAATACTATTTAGGAAATATATGCTTTCCAATTTCTCAGTTTCTGTGTTCATCTTTGCAGGTCTTCCAGGTAGAGGGTTTCCTGGACTTCCAGGTGAAAAGGGAGAAAGAGGTAACTTACTAAAACATTAAATGTAAAGTCCTCAGAGTCTATCTACTGTTCTAATTTTTCTTTGCCACTAGTGACACACAAGAAATTCTGAGCCTAAAATATCTCAGGTTGGAATGGCCACTATGAATGTTCTGTGCTCAAAACAAAACAAAGCATGCACATTCTCAGAGTTGTGCTTTGAGCTTGGCACAAAATCTGTGATTTCTTTCCATGCTCAGAACCAAACTTAGCTTTTTGGAGCTATGTTTAGGGTGTTCCACGTGCTGTGATTAGACTTTTGTAGCTTTCTGTTCCAACCCCAATCAAACCTGCATAGCAGTAGGGCTGCTCTTGGCTTAGCCTGAATTTTAAAGCAGCATGATGTTCCTAGTTAGATGAAGGAGAGAGGAGATTCACTCTCCCCTCTCCTTTCTTTTGAATTCACCCATATTTACAGATTGAAAAGGACATCCCCCCCCCCATCATCCCTCCATTTAAGTGGCTTGTTTATTTCGGGAAAGTTAATTCTTCTGAATGGTTACATTTTGTGTATACTACTACAGATAACACTGCTGAGCTGTTTTCAAGGGCATACATAGCTTTTTCCTTTTAAGCCAAGACTTGCCTTTACAGCTTCCCGCAGGCTCCCCTTGAGGACTAGCTGCCCTCTCCCCCCCGCCAAAACTTCAGAAATCATGACTGGGAAATGTAAAAGCTCCAGTCAGAAGGATAATCAGAGGATGGGCTAGGCAAGATATTGCTGGACAAAGGGAAAGAGGATTAATTCTTCCAAGATGCCTACTTCTGCAGTAGCAACAGGTCAAGCTCCACCAACCCTGACCCCTAATCCCGCAGAATGTCTCAAACCAGTAGAACTGAAATGACTACTTGAGCAGCAAGTGGGGGTGTTAGGCATGATATAACAAGGAATGCAATGATGTCTCCTCATTCTTTCTGCACTTGAAATCTCTTCCTTGCAATGAAGGTCCTAAGGGCAGAAAAAGCTGCATTGAGCCAGGTTCTGATCTTGGTTCTTTTCTCCTGGGTGAATTCCAGGAGAACCTGGGCTCTAAGCATCACAGAGCCCTGACAACCAACTTCACACTGGAGTCATGCTTCAGCAGAAGTCTTTGGTGATGTCCAAATATTTATGCTTGCCAGTCTTTTGCAGTCCAAGGATGAAGGGTGCATTTTCAGCAATGACAGTCTCTCTTGGTGGAGAAGCATTCTGTTTGTGGAAAAATGGATGGTAGGATAAGTTATATCCAGGAGGAAGAGGCTGGACTGCTCCAGTCTTAGCAACCACAGCAACCACAGCCAGAAGCCCAGTTCCAACTTTCGATTTCTCAAGCATGCCAGCATCATATAAGGATAGCATAAGGATAAGAGAGACCTAATATTACCCTGTGAGGAGAGCAGAATCTACTTCTGTTTTGTATGGCCTGTGCTCAAATCTAGGTAGACCTGCTAATGGCTGACTTGCATATGTTTCTTTTCCACCAGCCAAAGTCCTGAGCATCCATTGTTTGCATCTGTATGCTGACTTTGTGGAGCAATTCAATTTCAAAATGAATTTCCCCCTGTTGGACTTAAATTACCAGCAGATGGAAGGGAAGTAAGGGCTAGCCTCTTACTTCATTCTCCAGACCATTGGCAGAAGCTGTCCATTGTCTATTCAAACAATGAAAGGTGAATGGTGTCCCTTAGATATTAACTTATGTTGGTCCTACTTAGAGCCAGTCGCTGATTGATCTAAGTCATAATGGAATGAGTCACTGGCTTATATCACCTAAATGATTCATCCTAGATGGGGACCAATTTGGTGATCACCTGAGTGATACCACTGTGGTCTTTAATCACTGTACCCTCTGAGTTGCCCATGAGAAGAAAAACCCATGGATTCAGCTACCCACCACCATCACACAATTCCCCATCCATTCTTGTCCCTATTCTCATAGCCCATTTCCCTTCATTCATGGTTGGTGATGAAGTTGCTAGGCCTCCGTCACCAATGTGACTAGGTCAGATAGGACAGACTGGTTCTAAGACCACATACAGCCCATTCTATATTATCTGCCCAGGGGCAATTCTCTGGACAGTAGACTCTAGGCCAGAGGGAAAATCTGCTCTTAGGTTTATGCTATTGCCTTTTTAAAAAAAAAAATTGCAATGGGAAGGTTCATCTGGATCGGTTGTGTGTGTTTCTGTAAATGTAATCAGGTAAATGCAAATAGAAGAAGATAGTTAAATTCAAAAGTTGTTTTAGTAGAAAACAACTATATATTTAGTAGAATATAGATGATGATGAAAAACGTCTGATGTACTGTGTTTCACATACAAGTGTTGCTAATGTGATTAAGGTTTTGCAAGTTGTAAATTCAAAACTAATACCATGTTGAAATGGTTAAATCTATATACTCTGCTGGATGTTTCATCCACTTCTAAAATATGTTTTGACTACCATCAAAATTGCATTGTGTTTTCTCTTTTTTAATCTTAATCTTAATTTTAATTCTTCCATGTATTCCTTAACTACATTCCTTCTCATTATCTTTTTCTCAGATTATTCAACAGCTTTCTCACAAAACCTTTTCATAGCAATCATTCCCCTTATTCGCATTTTTCCCATCCACAATCTCTTTCACAACTCTGTTCCTCTAGCATTCTTTGTCCTACTTCCCATTATCGTAACTCCATACATTAATGCTGTAGTGCTCATTCTTTCACTCTGTTCCAAGCAGCACCCACATCTTCTTTACTTACATCCATTTTCCATTCATTCGTTGGGGAGATTAATCTGTTTCCTAATACTTTTTCATACAGGACTCACATTTTTATCTTTCTGCAGTCATTCTACTTAAAGTCCCC